GTTATTCACCAATGACAATCTTCTTATCATCCCCCAATTTTCAATCTCTGGTGCTTCAGTTAATTGGGCACTAGTTTCCACTATATATTTTTCCTGTTCAAATTTACTTGCTATCCACAAAGCCATGTCACGAATCACATCATGCATCTTCACCTTGTCCTCAACTTCTTCTAAAAAACATAAGCCAAGAAGAGTACCAATAATGATTAGGAACGGGCCCCCTTAGAGACTCTCTTGCATATTCCCATTGTTCAGGTGTGTTCTGGGATGACATATCCCGACCCATGCCGATGAGGGCACGAGGCAGACCCTTGCACTCTTCTGCCACTGCCTTTGCTAGTCCAAGGATTCGTGGGTGGCTATTAAGGGTTTCTTCTCCAACTTTTCTTCGAAACAATTCCCAGGCTTTCTCTGGAACCAAACAGTCTACCTCGATCTTCTTATGAGCATCCATTTGACCACATACACCAGGAATACGAGTAGTAAAGATAAGCTTGGAACCATTTCCCTGTTCTGGAATAGGTATCCCAACTTTAACTAAATCAAGTCGTTGCTGAACGTCATCCAAAAGCAACACAAATTTCTTTTTCCTCAACCTTGCAAAGATGTAACTAGCTTTTTGATCACAACTTTTTTGTTTCCATATTTCTACACTACAACCAATCCTGCTTCCAATCTCATCTTGAACTTCCTCAGTCTGATTTTCAGACACAGTTGCCCAAATCACAATATCAAAATTATTTCTTCTTGGTTCCAGCTCATTGTTGATCTGATTTAAGAGAGTTGTCTTCCCGACTCCGCCCACGCCATAGAGGCCAATGATGTTGCTGCCTTCATCAGTAAGGCATGCCCAAACCTTGTCAAATGTTGACTCCAAACCCACTGTAGACACACTGGATCTTACAACCACTGGAGGAACTGGGCACCTCCCAGCAACTTCAGAAAAATTTCCTTCGGTTCTTAGATTAGCCACATCTCTAGTCTTTTGTACCACTCTTTTCCCAAACTTATAGCTTGAACAACAGCTCTTGGAAAAGTAACCGCCAAGGGGAGCATCTTTTATTATCTGCTCAACTTCTTTTATCTCTTTCTCCACTCTATAAAGCCATCCTTCTACCGTTTTAAGGGGCTCCATGAGCTCCTCTTCCGCAACAAGAACCTTCCTATTCACATCATCTCTTTGCTCTGTCAATCTTGCTCCCTCAGCCTCCAATGCTTTAAGATTTTGTTCAAGCTTACAAATGTATCGTGCTTTTCCAGCAACACAGTCCCAGGATCGACTAACAACTTGATCTACCGCGATG